CTATTGACCTACGATGCTTTTATAAGACCGAAGTTGGGCTATGGTAACGTTGTTTGCGACCCACATTTAAATAAAGATATTAGGAAACTTGAGATGGTGCAGCGTAAAGCAGTTCGCTTTATATTTAATGCTTACCACAGAAATGACTCGCCAACAACAATCATGGCCATCAATAACATCCCCACTCTACAACACCGAAGGACAGTTGCCCGACTGAAATTTCTACACTTGCTTTATTTCCGTAAATTTAACATTTGTCCAAAAACTTACATAAAAAATCGAATTTCAAAACCAACTAGGCACACACATGCTTACACTCGTGAGCCTTACTTTGCACGTACAAATCTCTTCATGGTTTTTTTTTTCCTTGGACTATCAATGAGTGGAACGGATTACCTTTTGAAGCGTTCTCTGTAATGATTATGTGGGCGTTGACAACTATGTATCTTTCTCTTTTCAATAATACAGCACAAGGTCTCGACTGTTTCAAAGTGCACTTGATTTACATTCTGTACCTGCGATTTAGATTGCCTTGCTGTCATCTAAATTCATTTATTTTTGTTCTATCTTCTACTATTTTACCATGTTTTTATTGCTTCAAATTTCTTTGTATTAAAGTGAAACTGTGCGATACTTTTTTATGGTGCCCCCTGCTTGATCATTCGAGCGCAGAATGCTGTAAACAAAGTCACGCAAGATGCATGGAGAAAGTGCCAATCGAAAATTTTACGGCTGATTATGTGCTCTTACATAGCGTACGTACCCTAGTGGTTTGCGTTAGACGCATGCGCAGTGACATCAAGTGCTAACACAACTTAACACAAAGCTCTGCGAACGTTATTCTAAATGTGCCTATTTTTACTACAGCGCAAGAAATTTTATCCTAGACAAAAGCACTACTTACGTCGGCAGTATTTTTGCTTGAATCTCAGTAGTTCTGATTTTAAAGGATTCATGCACTACGTGTTTATATATTAGCCAAGAGCCTTTCGCATTCAGTGATATCATATAAACGTCGTCCTGGCCATCACACTCGTGGCTACTGTTGCCAATGGTTACTGCCCTTTGCTCAAGTTAGCTACTTTTTCGGTAGTTTTTCCAACGTTTCCGCTATTTTTTTTTCAACCTGAGAACTGGTGACAAGTGCAGCGAAAAGAGTTTGCATGCTCAGTGACATACCTGGCTGCCAATTACGAGACAAGCTTGCGTGTGCGGTATGTACATGGCGCGGCGAGGGGTATCCTTAAGGCAGACGGCCTTGAACCTTCAACATTAGGTCTACATTGTTGGGTGTACTGCTTTGGCAACGCTAACATCGGGCTTTTCCTTTCTGATAGCGAAGTTGTTGAAACCGTAAAAACGTTAGGGCACGCTATCATGAACGGGTATGTGCCACAGAAATTGTGCAAATTCCGCTACTCCCCACTTGTCCACTAAAAATGTACAAGGCAACAGACTGGTGGCAAACACCAATTAAAATATCTGCAGAAATAACCAGTAAGTGAGAAAAGCTTTAATAAACTCTCGGAATTAACCATGCCACAGGTTTCAGCTCTGCTTGAACATGTCTACGAAGTGCTTCAGTGGCACGTACGACAGAATATTAGGGAACTTTTCCATTCCTTAAGTGTTTCGTAACCACGCCTATTCAAATCGATCACTGGTGATAGCCCGTTTAGATTGTTTCAACTGTCAATTTTGGCGTGTTGAATACGTTCCTCGTGCAGTCAGCGCTTTCTAGTTGTTAGTCCAACCACTCAACTTTCACAATCAACTTGTATGGCCCGTTTTGGCACCATAGCGATTTTTCACAGACCTTTGCGCGAACCAATGTGCGTGTGTTGTTGGAAGAATGCACTAGGTTGGCGAACTTGACAAATTGTGTGCCCCTCGTGATATTTCTACAGTAACATCAAAATTATGTAATGTAAAGAGCATTTGCAAGCCAATTTTTTAATTAAAGGGTCGGCTTCGCGATTTTACAGTGTTAAGCAGTATTAATTGCCAGAAATTTATGCCAGATACATTCAATAGAAATCTGTTGCTAGGAGTCTCGAAAACTTTATTCAGCAGAAATTGTTTCCCAAGGTCCGCCACATGCATAAAGTGTGAAGGTGGCCTACTGAGTCAGTTTCCAGTAGCTTTGGTTACGCTTGTGAAGATATATCAAACACAGGGCCTCATCTACTACCTAGTCGCTCCTGCGGCGAAGGCTTCACGCGCGCATGGGTGTATACGCTAGCAATGCGTGAAACACGCACTGCTCGAAACTGTCTTTTAACCCCACCTGAACTGAGTGAAGACCACCTGAATTGAGTGAAAATAACCCAAATTGAGTGAAGACGAGCTTAGAGCTTGAGGACTACAGCACCTCTGCTTCAAGTTTTATGGCGAAGATTTTCTTTCGTCAGCCTTAAACATCCGCAGCCGTTCATGGGTTTGTTTTGTTTACAGCCACAAGTTGACTCCTCCGCTCCACCACAAGTGCGCAGCTGCGGACGTTCGCACACAACCATATAGCTACTTTGGTTAGGTGCAAGGTACACACTTCGCTGGGGCATGTTGTGCTGGCACCGGCTGCAGAGCTAACCACAAGGCCACCGGACCACATCTTGGCCTCGACTACGGAGCAGCACAATACGTTTTAGAACTGCGCACGATATTCTTTTTAACACAATGTGCAAAATGCTAAGAAATATGCTTGGATGCATATGCAGGGTGTCCCACGTAACTTTAGCAAGCAAGAGTTTAAAACGACACACTTCCCTCGCACTGGTTTATGACAGCGATAAGCAGTCACAGCGGTTATCGTTTTTGTGGCCGATAGCAAAACGTGTTCATCGTGAAGCCACCACCATCGTTGCGGCCCTGCCGAGACGCCACAATGGGGCAAATTCTACGGTCGTTCGTACGCGGAACGTTACAGAGCACAAGGATTATTGTGCGCACTGGCGCACGAGCGGGTTTGTCACGTAGTATTTTTTTTTTTCGCGGGCACTTGTAATTAGCAGAAAAATACTAATACCTAACTGATATAAAGTTCAAAACTGTCTAATCGGACGTTTTGCAAACTGATCTACAACTTTCTTGTTGAAATTTTTATTTATCTTCGTTTCTTGAAAGTTTAGTTAAACATATTCAATTAAACAATATCTGAGAACACAAAAAATTGTATGACTGATTCCCGGCAACGGTGAGCAACATGCATTTGGTCGCGTCGTAATCGCGTGTGCCGGCGTATTTTTAAACTCTGGCTAAAGTTACCTGGGACACCCTGTATATATGAAAGCAAACATGTGACGCTAAATGAAGTAGCAAAGTTCATTGGAGATCCAATTTATACAGGGATTATTCATATCAAGGGCATCTATCTATATTGAAACACCCGGAGGCTGTTATCGCAACGAAGTTACAAAAAAAATAGATGAGTCCACTGATGTCATGCGGTAGCATTGCTTGCTTGGTTTTTCGCGAGACACGAGTAACGAAGCAACACCTCGGTCTTCTTTTTGTTTGTTTATGAGAATACAAGCATTTTGTAAAGCATTCATTTTTTATGCTGCTCCTGTGTCATTTATCTTCAAAATGAATATTTTGAATTTTTTGTTTTGGATGTTTTGTATATATGGTATTTTTGTTACACTGTTTGCCACCTGGCAACCGAAAATGGCCCACTTCCCATTTTATTCATTCCTAAATATTTGTCACTCTACAACATGTACATTTTTTAAAGAGCACCTATTGGGGAAAATTTGCTAAGCTGCAATGCGTGCTGGAGTGCTTTTTAAACTGGCAAAAACTATCTTCCCGGGGCATACGAAAAATAACCATTTTCGCGTAGTAACGTAAGAGTTAATATTTGGGTGGCTGCGAGAATATCCCGAAATGATGAAAGCCCTACGCGAACGACGGTGTGCCCGTTCATCTACGCAAGGTGCGAGCGCTCGGCTTCAACGGGAGTTGCTCAGAAGAGTTCGGACATCCGTGTTCTGTCCCTGCGGTTTCACTCGCACCTCTAGCTCGGTGATGCTAGGTTGCTTCTCGGCGCAAAGATCAGCAACAACATAAACGCAATCAGATTAGATTTCATGATCTTTCAGCTTCGCTGTTTCAAGCCATGCGGGGATTCAGTGAAAGCTTCGTCTTTTTTTTTTTCTTTTATGTCGCCAACAACAAGCGACACTTTCTCAAGGAGCACAACAGCGAATTTGTCCTCGGACAACCAGTCGTGTAGCATTGGCTCGAATGTTAGTGTAATAACAGTTTAATATGCTGAAATAGTTAATAAGCCCGTTTTCTTGCGTATCAGTTTCTATGATGATCGTTGTTATGCAGTGTGAAGTCGCGAACACCAATTAGTCCAACACGACCTCCTCAATGCAGGCAGTTGCAACATAATGCAAATGCGGATACGCACTTCAACCCCGCATTATAGGAGAGAATCACTTTTGGCAAATCATCGACGGCAGCCAAGTTTCGGCAGCCCACTTGTTAAGATATCCCTCCCCTACGCTTTTTAGCACTGCAATATTCCATACCATGGCCGTTTGATTACAGAGTGTAAGTGTAAGGCCGTGCCCTTACAGTTTTAAGCCCCCCCCCCTCCCCTCAGGAAAAACTTTTCAACAGTGATTGGCGCTCTATCGCAGTTTTCGTAACGAAAACAATCGTGACCAAGAAATTTGATCCAGATCTGGCCTGATGGCTATCAAGTGACGGTGCAACACAGTCATTAACGATTGGTTACTTGCAGTCTTTGAAAGAATGCGGGTCGCTTCGATATTGAAGCCTCGCATACCATAAGAGTAATTCGAAGTTTCAGTGCACGATGCTCGGAATACTCTATTGTCTTGCATACGGCCGAGCATGTATTACACAATCAGTTCCACCCCAGGGAGGTGTGCGATTACTCTTTTCAGAATCCAGCAGTCCCGAAGCTTTGGTATCTTAAACGGCAGTTGCACACACACTTTGATTTGGGTAGCACGAACTCCACTCAATGAGGAAAGTAATTTCTTTGTCACTTTATTTAAACAGTATAACACCTTCACAAAACAAGAAATAAAACTGGTTACAGAGATGCGCGCTGGTTAGTTTGAGTAACGGGCGCAACGTGCTTTCCTTTGTGCGGAAGAGTTTCTTTAACACAGTTGTACGCAAAACAAATTGTGCCCGCACTTTACGCCCCAGCGGACAAGGAAGATCTTCGCGGGACCATGGCCCAGCCTACATGGTGTCGCGATGTCCTTGCTTATATTAAATACCCCGTGTTTAAAAGTCGTCTTGTTAAAAGATTAAAAGTGAAAGTCGTTAAAATTTATGCGTTAGGTGCTAGTGCTGCCTTGCACCTGCGTCAAAACAAAATCATGCACGAATGAATTCGGCCAGGCTACGCGTCAAGATGGCGCGTGCCAACCAAGGCTGAAGAAGCAGCTCTTCAAGAAACCATCGCTGCCAGTCACGGCCGATGGAGGATACCACAATGTAATGACCGGTACAGCGGTCGGCACCGCGCCGGATGCGAACCTCCTTAACACCGGACCAAGAGCAGAGCAGGCCCGCCACTTCGTCTTGGCTGTGAACCAGCATGTCCCACAACGCCGGGTTGGACACCTGCGCAAAGAAATTGAGCCGTACGTAAGGCTCGAAATTCGCTGCCGACGTATGTTGCGCAATATTTGACCACCACCATCCACAACTAGCGCACCCAGTAAATGCGTGTTGGCATTGCACAAACATTCACAGTATCAACGTTACGCGAATGGCGAGCTCATCGTAGCACACTGTTTCTAGATCGGAGCAAATCACTTGTCAACGTTCAGCGCTGAATAAGCGTAACAAGCAGCGGCGATGACTCAGCGATGCACTTTTAAGCTGTCCGATACGCAAGCACTATCGACGGGCCCCACATACCTCATGGCAGAGGCTACCTACCGCCCTAAGGGTTACCCCAGTTGCCCAACACCAAACACGGCAGCTTTGCACAGTGATTTTCAATTTACAATGCTTATGCAGAAAACCACGGCAACAAATTTGGATAAGTGCTGGAGAGGTAGCGATCGTTACCCATAAACGTGCTAATACGAAATACTAATGTGAGGTAAGCTCATAATATTAGGATACTATTATTACACATAAAGTACATATGTGAACGACTCTTTGCCACCTGCCGTCATGCAAGTTAACAAGCAAACAATTGCACATGTGGGCCTGAACCGTGCTCACTGTCACTACAAGGTGCTGGCTGTCATTTCCATTTTTCGAAGCTATATGTGCCTCAAACTCAAAAACTGACCATCGGTGTCCCCCGAAGGCGGCGTCAACACGTGTTAAATGTCACGGGATGACGTCACGATATTTTATTAGGAGGTCGATATGGTCAAATGTTGTGACGTCGTCACGATCTCAAACTGCACCACATGGCATCGCCGCTTGATCAAAAGGCGGGTCGATCACGGAGACAGAAAAACCAGGCAAAGTGCAGCCTTACAATACGGCCTATCCTGAAAGTGGTGCGAAACCTCCGAGTGTGGGGTAAGGTCAATGAATCGACTGAGAAACAGAAGATTGCTTTCGCCTTTCAGTCGTCTAGGGCTAATGCGTGAGGAACCCCGTGAGGTTTTTATTATTATGCAATGGTCACTAATAACACCCTCATGCATGTGTTCATTGTCGCCTGTTTTGTAGCCTTCAGAGCAGCGAACTAACCATGGACAATGTTATGCAAATTCAGAACGCGCAGATGCCTGGAGGTGCCGTCAACCATCAATATCGGTGACACTGCCGCGGCTGTCGGCATAATGACGCCCACAAGAGTCCTCCTGAATGGGAACATGTGAGCTCGTGGTAGATGGCGTCTATACGCCCACATGTGCGGTGCCATGGCGAGATGTGGAACGAAAGAAGAGCATGACACCATGCTACTTCCTGCACACCTTGCAGTTGCGAACAAGTTCGTGACTGAAGCGTTGGCAGAAGAGACGGCACCACCTATTTTCACAAGTCGCCCTTGTGCCGCACCGCATGTGCAGCCAGAGGCTATCCTAACCTCACGTGTGAACGACCCCACGTGCTGGGTAATTTCATGAATTCATGGCGTGCGACTTCTGTGGACACCACACGAGGTGAAAATAGTACGGGATGTCCCCCCCCCCCTAGTCTGGCAGCAGCATAAGGCTGAATCACGCTTCTGAACAGGTCAGCGCTAATTATATTTAAATACTGCATATTATGCGTGGTTAGTGTGCTTAGGTGCCACGAAAACACCGTAAATTGTATGTCATGAACAATGGTCGAATAAACATGTTCCGGGGAGAGCTGTGACGTGTCTCTCTATCGATACGCTGACGGGGAAATCAGTTTGTTCTCGCGTGTTATTCGTTGCACACTGTTGAGATGGAACACCAACGTTTGAGAATTTGGTCATTTATAGAGGGGTCCTTACCCCACACGTGGGTAACACGAAGGAAGAGAGGGGCAAGGAAAGGGATGGAAGTCCACCGAACGCACGTCCGCAATAGCAACAGGACCTTATTCGGAAGTGAAAACTCGCTTATCGTGGTCACATGCCTACATGGCATAGGAACCAAGCAGGAAAAGAATAAGCCAGCGCAGCAGGGTATATAGCTAAATGCGTGCGGCGCAAATTTGGAACATACTAACAACACAGTTGGGATTGTCACATATGCAAACTGCACGGCAAGACTGCACTAAGCGCTCCGCGGTGCAATTCCGGTGCAACGGAAAGATAGAAAAATGTCATTCAGAGCCGGTATCGACTGCCACGCGGATTGCCTCCATGGGTTCAAGTGTGCAGCCACAAAACCAGTGCTTGAAGCAGTTAACGAGGAACTCCTTAATGAAGTACCACGCAAGCGTCAACTCTAGATTTGTATCACATTGTTACAAAAACCAATAGTAAACATTACATACCAACTCCTGCGACTCGCCAGGCTATGGTCAATCACTTCACAACACGTAAGAATACGGCAAAAATGAGTTCTTACAATACGCACATTATCGCATCACAGCGTACATGCGATTTTAATAAAACTGACATGTGCGCTCTAAAGGCTTGATTGATTGATTGATTGATTGATTGATTGATTGATTGATTGATTGATTGATTGATTTGTGGGGTTTAACGTCCCAAAACCACCATATGATTATGAGAGACGCCGTAGTGGAGGGCTCCGGAAATCTTGACCACCTGGGGTTCTTTAACGTGCACCCAAATCTGAGCACACGGGCCTCGACATTTCCGCCTCCATCGGAAATGCAGCCGCCGCAGCCGGGATTTGAACCCGCGACCTGCGGGTCAGCAGCCGAGTACCTTAGCCACTAAACCACCGCGGCGGGGCGAGCGCTCTAAAGGCGAGTACCGTCGCTAAGTCGGACCACATGATACTCCTTGGGCGTCGCTGTAGTCGACATCCCTATAAAGTCCACAAGAGTTGAAAAATTGGCGAGTTGGTTCGTCGTCCTTAAACTGGTATAGCACATTGCGGTGAAGAAGAAATAACAGAGCAGACCGGCATGAGAGGACAGAGAGGTCTGTCCTCTTGCGTCGGTCTGCTCGGCCATTTCTGGGCTCTTTCCTAGCATGGGTGCTCTCCAGATCGACACAAGAGGACGGAGCGCTGTTCTCTCGTCTCGCTCTGCTCGGACATTTCTTCTTTACCGCAATGCGCTATACCAATTGATATGTGTGGTTTACCATCCCGAAACCACCATATGATTGTGAGAGGCACCGTAGTGGAGGGCTCCAGAAATTTCGACCACCTGGGGTTCTTTAACGTGCACCCAAATCTGAGCACAAATGCCTACAGCATTTTCGCCTTCTTGGAAAATGCAGCCTCTGCGCTTTATCAGTTCAAGTCCCTAATAAACCCGTGATGAAACCCATAGCCGGGAGAGGAGCTCCTTCCTTTCTTTTATGCGATTGCTTCTTTAAATTGGTATTTTCCTGAAAATTGGTGCATTCCTGTACTAATCAAGAGCTTAGGCAAGTGTCGCTGCACCCTCCAAAAAAAAAAATCCTTGCTACGCGCCTGCCAGCGATACACCCATCTCCAAGTGCGAAAAGAAGACTAAACTCGCAACGCTCGATTAAAATTTATGAAAATGCGGTATAGGCCACCACTCGCGTACTGCTCCGCATGTCATTGACTCAACTCGATGAATTACTAAAGTCTGCCGACTTTTATTAAATATACAATATTGAGAATTCTACAAAATCACTGACTACGTCACCAACACCTGGTAACATTTAGAGTGCACTTCGGTGCTTCTTCAGTATGGGAACACTGACCAGCACCTTAAAGGACATCCTGGACAAACTATCGTAACTTCCGTGGTGTGAAATACTGAAGACGGACTGGCAACAGTACTTCACGAGCTCCTGTTCACGAGAGCAAAGAAATACCAAGGAAAAAAATATACCAAGAAAAGCATGGCCCAAGACAAAATGCAGGTGCCCTGCTACGTGTAGGCTAGAAATACATCAGATTGTTAAAAATACTCTTAGAAATTTGCATGCCCATATTCCTACAGAAGCTTGAAAGTATATGTGGCGTGTGATCAAGAGGCGAAGAAATGACCAGTGAACGCATTAGCCAAGAGACCATTAACTCAGTAATGTACAGTTTCATTTAAGTGAATAATTTAGAGGGATTTTGCTACATCCCACCAACGTTCGTTCAAGTTGAATTAGAGGAATGAACGAAGTTTGAAGTGGCAAAAATATAGAGCGCTAAAACAACAGATTCGGTAAAAGAAATGGTCACTGCACAATACTTCCTCCAATTCCTGGACAATTTCAGCGTATGAACAGCTACGCACCTATGACAACTGCGACTGGTTATACAACTATTGTGAAGAGATGTAAACAAGCTTCTATAGCTAACTCCACGGAAACTTGACTAAACTTCTTCGAATGTTTACACTATTCATAAATTTATATTTTCTGACGGCGTGAGAGGAAGTTCGAAACAGCTTACCTTAATGCGGACAGAGTTTCCTTCTTTTATCTCCTGGATGGGTTCGTGGAGACTTTCGTCACAGGGCAGGCCTAGATGGCAGAGATCGCACAAGATGGACAACATGCTGTAAGTCCTCAGTGCTGCCATTGTCAGGGTGTGCATCTGGGATGACTGGCTGCAGGCATCACATTCAGGGAAGACAACTGACGAACTGCTCACGTAACGCAGAAATGAAGTGACGTAATAACCGGTGGAAGGTGGCTGCCTATTCTCGGGGTCATTTTCGGCATGCTCGCGTTCCACTGCAAGCGCACTTTTGGCAAAGAGCATTTGTAGACAATTTTCGCAAATGCGAGCACAGTTCACGGCTGCTGTCTTCAATATCAAGTCTTCTTTATCGGCCCACTTCAACACCACTTCTAGCGCCACTATCTTGGCAGAGTGACGAGATGCAGAAGCCGCCAGCTGATTGTCCAGGCGGTATACGAGAAGATTCTTGCTCGTGCGCTCAAGCATAGATGAACTCTCCTCCATGACGAGAATAATAACGTCCGCGAAAGACCAAGGGAAGCTGGAATAGGTCTTCTTTGCGTTGTAGTACGTCACCATAAAGCACGCGGATGCCATTCTCAGAAGAATCTGCTTTTTATCCGCTTCCGACAGGGCATTTTCCATGCGACACGCATAATCAACTTCTTCGAAGAATCGCTGCCGTGTCGACTCCACGATCACTCGGTACTGCTTCGCGACAAGAACTTCGACGTTGCTCTTCTCGTAGTGCCCCTTGTTGGAGGCAGAGACGTCGTTGATGTAGCCAGACACGATCTCCGCTTCACTTTTTATGCCGTACTGCTTGAGTATGCGGTCCATGTCAGACTCGTGCGCAGCCAACAGCTCTTCGACAATGAGCTGGTAGCGTTTCCAGCCATGCAATTCAAGCAGTTTGATATTGCTTCCGCTATCAATGAGGTGACTGTTGAAGTTAGAGCTGACGACCGACTCTAGAAACCTTTGAAATCTGTACAGGTGGCCGAGAACTCGAGCAGAACGGTACGCGTTTTTGTGACCACCTTTGTCCATAAAATCTGGGTACTCTTCGGGTTTTTCATTCCTTTCCAAAAGAGCGGGAACGCCAGTCTTCGCGAAGTCGAGACATGTCGAGATTTTCTTGGCCACAGAGAGACATGGCTTTGAGAACACGCCGTCTTCAAGCTTGTCAGCCAGGGCTAGGTGGGCGTTGGACATGACACCAACATTGTCGTTCAGGATGTAATTCGAGATGAACACTGCCATACTATCCACCTTGAATAAGTGCGAAAAGAAAAAAAATATCTCTTAGACAGTTTCAAAGTGTTCCATGGCGCCGCGTGAAATGTTCAATATTGTATTCACTGCACATGCATGCTTTTGCCTTTCTATTTAAAGTTTATTCAATCATAAATCGGTTACCGAGGACAGTGTGGACATGTATAGGACAGAGTTGGCAATAAAGGCAAGTTAATGCTTGACATGTTGCCGTAACCCGTCCCAGCCATTAAGGCGCACAAGGAGCAATATACGGTCACACAAAGCTGCCAAATGCTCCCATGTAAACATCGTCTACAAGCCGGTCAACCTTTCGAGGGTGTTTTTACAACATCGACTTTGGTGTACGGCTATAGACAGCAAAATTTAGTTTTACCGCAACGGACAAGCAAGTAATACAATAACGGCCAATTAGAATGTCTCGCGAAGAACGGCTACATCATACTTGCAACACGCCGCCGAAGCGTAAAGGACGCGCGCAGTGACCCCACGAAAACGCGTGTAGTGACCCCTCGACGTGTGCTACCGCGCGGTGGTGGGACGCATTATTTCCACAGCGTCTCACATCGCGAATGGGCACAGTAATAGGCCAGATTTAAAGGGCGCCTCTCAAGGGCAGTTTTGCAAATGAAGCAAAATCTAGGAGCGTTGCTGTAAAGCGCACCCTTCGTTCAATCTAGCAGTTGATGCCGCACCTCCAAGCACTGCGAGCCGCAAGCAGTAAGGTATGTGTACAAATAGCACGCAGTTCGAATTCTAGATAAATAGCGCCTGATCATACTGTCTAAAGCGGCAAGCCTGGGTGCGAGGGATTGCAGGTTCAAATCCCGGTGGCAATCTTCGGATTTTTTTATTCGGTTGTATTTTTCTTTGCGGCTTTTATATATAGAAACATGTACATAACGACATGACGGTGACGGCAAAAACCAGCCGAGTGTCAACATAATTGCTACCGCAATAATTACATTGTTATGCACCACAGATACAATGCCAGAGCTCTCCATGGCGTGCGCGCAAGCGGCAGTGTTGTGGCGAAAAAAGTTGACCTCACGATGTTCCCATTTACGATATTTCTGCATTCATGATGCTTCCCGTCAAGAACAATGGCACTGCACTGAACATGGCACTGAACAAGGCACTGGCACTGAACAAGGCACTGGCACTGAACAAGGCACTTCAACTAAATTGTGCGAATTAAACTGAGCGTAATGGACGAGTTGCTCTGTCATCACGAAGACTAAACCAATGACGGGTTGTAAGCACAAAGGAAACGACCCCAAAAGAAAAAAAGATTCTCTCTCGCAGTTCACTGTTCCCTACACTACCTAACCCCCCCCCCCCCCCTTTTTTTCCTTCCTTGCCGGAGCTCCGTTGAAATCCTGAGAGCCGGATGTCTCCATAACCCGTCTCAAATCGATGCGTTCCGTCAGGCAACAATCTCGGTGGTTACGACTACTCTGCCACAAAATATTTTCTCACCGACATCAGTGCTTCTTCAGCCGGACTGAACTCAATTATACAGTTCAAGTCACACTTAAGGTTAATGCATGTCTCGGCAGTAGCGTCTTTATGAAGACCATAATTACCAGATTAGGCTCGGATTGCTGCAAAACTAGCTTTTGTCCGTACACCATGGGCTCTCTGTTGGGCCCCGGGAAGAAAAAATTTTCGTCCCAGATGACAATATACTCGTCTCCATCCAAGTCAGAACCTGCGAGGAAAGGGGTCGTTAAAGATCTCCGTTGGATGAGCGATGATGAACGGACTGGCATAAAAGACCACAACGTATTAGCGTTCGTCGACAGCAGTTATATGCCGATAGCTTATACCTACTACTGCAGCGATGGGATCTCAAGCTGCGCGGTTACTGCAGTGGATACCAGGGACTAGCATCATGGCACAATAGAAGTACAAAGCATCTGAATACGGGTTGGGTATGTGCGAGAATGGCATGGTCGAAATGAAGTGAACTTTGTTTGGTCAATTCGCAGTTTATTATTTACAGACCAGTAAAAAATGCCTTGCCTCTTAAAGTTACACCTATCATTTCCTTTCCATTGCTCGCTGCGTTGTCCTCAATCGAAGCTGAATCCTCTTTGTAACCTTCCAGATTTCTGCTCCATAGGTAAGTATATACCTTCCTCTTGAGGGATAGTGGCAATCTACCAGTCATGATTCGAGAGTGCTTGCCAAATGTGCTCCACCCCATTCTTGTTCTTATAGTTAGTTGAATCTCATGGTTCGTAAGCAGAAAACGGGGAAGCAGAGTGGATCAGGGGACAAACCGGGGTTAAGGATATCGTAGCCGACATCAAGAAGAAATGGTCATGGGCAGGGCATGTGCCGCGTAGGCAGGATAACAGCTGGTCATTAAGAATAGCCGACTAGATTCCCAGAGAAGGCAAGCGGGTTAGGGAGAGAAAGTTAGGTGGGCAGATGAGATTGGGAAGTTGGCGGGTATAAAATGGCAGCAGCAAGCACAGGACCGAGTTGACTGGTTCAACATGGGAGAGGCCTTTGTCCTGCAATGGACGTAGTCAAGCTCATGATTATAATGAACAACTCTAGAATCCTCTAGAGAAGCATTTATTCAAGTTATCCTGCAGAAATTATGGTAATGCCAATGGGGTATATAATAATATTCTACGAACACCGGCATAACATACCACCTTAGGAAACCCCGGCGTGAATGGTTATTTTAGATGACGCGGTCTTTACATTAACTTACGAACTCCAATGCAAACTCTGCGAGTGGAACAGCTCCACTGAAATAGCGGTTTCAGGAAAAACATGCTGTATTCATATTTTTCAAAGGTGTGGGCAGGTGTCCCCGATTGATGCATGCACATATTGTAGGCAGGTATACATGACTGATAAACTGCATCGTCCCCACATGAAACACCACCAAAACCAGCTGCAATTGAACACCTTTTGTGAAACTAGCTGAACCAGCCAAAGTCAAATACGAAGACTACGTGGGAACTGTGTCCATCCTACGAGATCACCGGACTTTAATCTGATCCATGTTCCTAATCATCAAACCCGGATTATGCATATTGGTGAAGTGACTGCTTCAGACTGGCAAATTGACGAAATATTAAGTTTAAGGCCATCAAAGTCGCCACAGGAAATCCATGGAGTTGAAACGAGAGTTACGAGTGTTCAAGCTTAGTAATGGAACATGTATAACCTACACCTTATCTCCACATTAACAAAGCTCCTTCATCAGCACACATCTTGAAACAGGGTCTTTATGAACTTACCTGCCATTTCATCAGGATGTGGCCTGTGCCCATTCGCTGGGAAAACAATGCAGTCTTTTATGTGATGAAGTGAAGTTACATTGACCGCAGTGAACTTCCTCACGTCACCGGGATGAAGACAAGGGCACTTCGTAACCAGCACTGTTCCTGTGAAAATAAGCATTACTTTATAACTGAGCCATGCTATGACTTTTCTGTTTATGATAAAAATAAAGTGGGTTCTGATGCAGCACAACAATTGCAGCGCTATTATGTACAAAAGCTTGAGATTATACGATCATGAGCGATGTCGTGGCGGAGGGCTCCTGAAATTTGAACTACCCGAGGTTCTTTAATGTGTATCTACATGGATGTAGACGAAGCTCTAGCATTTCGTCGCTGTCATAATGATGCTATGCATATTGGAGGACGCATGCGAATAGGAAGACACTTCAATATGCACTTAACGTCGATACGGACGAAGCGAGTAAATGTTCTCGGGGACGATGAATTCATTGTTGCTACCCTGAGCTTTATCGGCAGTGGTTTTCCGTTCATCTAAACACAGATATTACACTTCTATTCCCTTACGAAATTCAAGTATGCTTCCTAGGGATCCAAAGTGTGTACAAAAGAGGAGATATTGTAGAGAAAACGCGATAGAGAAATAGGGAAAGATGACGAAACGCAACTACAGACAAATGCCGACTGTGCTGCTCCTTTCGTCTTTCTCAGCTTTTGCTTTGTGCGCATATACTCTGCTCTGATGGGAGCCATGATGACTAGGAGGAGCGATGGTGTTAGATCGGATGTGTTCAAAAATGCATTAAAGTCCAAAGGAACAGTTCAGTCTTGAATACAAGACTCAACATAATGAGCCTTGAAAGCTTCTGTCATGGATGACTCTTTACAAGTACAGTGATTTTGAGAAACTAACTGCATGACCTTTATCGAAATATTTGGTCTATAGAACTTCTACATATGAACCGAGTAGAATCATAGGTTGCGAAAACAGTGATGGACAACACTGATGCTTAGCCACTTTCCAAGCTTACGAACTGTGCGAGTAGTGTTCATTGCACTTCAAGATACCTGTTAGCACTGTAGTCTCGGGTCCATCATCTTGGGGGCCTTTTGGAGTCAGGGAAGTGTACTGCACGAAAACTTCGCCATACTGCAACGTCCGGGTTTCGTCCAGCACGCCGAACATGTTGCGTCCCAAATTGTGCGGCACAGCTATGCGGGACTTTGACAATAGAGACTCTGCAACAAACGAAACAGTGTTTTTGAAACTATACCTAGTAAGCACCGCTGCTGTCATTCGGGCATGTGCGCAGTCACAGCAAGCCGATTGCACGGGTGGCATTTACGAACAAGTATGCCGTCAAAGAACTCAATTTTCATTAGAACCACACACGCGCTTAGCACTAAAGTCCCAAGGAATAAAAATCGATCAATCAATCGATAGTTTAACATGCCCAGGAACAACCATAAGGTCTCTGCACAGGCGCACGCAAAAATCAAATAATCTAAACAATACATTCTACAGTAAAAAAAAAGAAGAGCGCAAACAGAAAAAGAAATCGGCGCAAAATGGGAAAAATAAAAGACATGACGAAAATTATGAAATGGCCGTGAAAATAAAGGAAAATATACGCAACTATGTGGAAGGTTTACAAGAAAACGGGAAAGGAAACAATCTGTACGCTATGAAAAACTATCTTAAGACAGTGCAAAGCTGAGATAAAAACAATGAAAGTGGACTGATTGATATGTAGGGTTTAACGTCCCAAAACCACCACTGTACGATTATGAGAGATGTCGTAGTGGAGGGCCCCGCAAATTTCAACCACCTGGGATTCTTTAACGGGCACCCAAATATGAGCACACTGGCCTACAGCATTTTCACCTCCATCAAAAATGTAGCCACCGCAGCGGGGATTTGATCCCGCGACCTGCGGGGTAGCAGCCGAGTACCTTAGCCATATACCACTGTGGTGGAGCAAAGTGGACTGTGAAAAACATCAAGATTACGAAAGTTAACATTACATAGACTGTATTCTGTGAGCGATAAAGTATTGAAAGAATTTGGAAGGTACATGAAATGGTCGATTCTCTCTGGTTAATTTACGCGGAATACAAATATTTACACAAATTAGAAGCAAAGGGCGAAATATCATACCGTGAACTAGCTTGTAAAGAATCAAGAGGTCAGCGCAATTTCTTTGTGAGGGAAGTGAGGGCAATGATAATGTGGCAGTGTTAGGACGAGATCCAGAGTCATTTATAGGAAAACGATAGTTGTAAACCTCCAATATTTGTTTTTAAAAGAGGACTACACGGGCTTTTGTCATCACTTGTCAGCCGCTGATTGGCCCCAGGTTACTGACAAACCAACCGTTGATGACCAAGTTGAGCAGTTTACGGAGATTTTATTAAACAGCATGCGTAAGTTTATACTACAATATATACCTAAACATCGTAAATATCCCCACTGGTCTTCCCCTGAACCTGTAGTGCACTGAAACATTAAGATCGCACGTGCAAGAATTCTCTATTCAGCAAGTGCAAGGATATATTCAGCTTCTTTCGAACATTCTCTAAACGCCCACACAAACGGGACCACAGTTCATATATTGCATTAGAAAAAAAATCTGACGGAGAAGCTGAGTATTGGAAGTATTTACGCAAATGGTCTAGCAAACGTGGGGAGTCCTTCGAGCTACTGGACTCTAAGGGTGTCGAAGCGCATGCCGTCACTCCTGTTTTGCCGCGCATTTTTCAGCCGTTTTAAAGGCATCTGACGAAGACTGATACTGCAACATGGATGGATGGATATGGCTGTACCCTTTAGATCGGGCGGTGGCTAGCGCCACCAAGCCGTAATATCTAATGAACCAAAAACTATATTTATTTATTTTTCCTTAAAAAAGAGTTTGAGGATTCGTACTTTGCAGTGAAAAGTTTAATTTTCACTCGCGCCTTGACTTTAGCCACCAATCAGATAACCTCCTTCTAGTGAAGTCTACCCGCTTAAAGTTTATTTTGCCCTCCCGGTCCCTAAACCCCAGTGCTTTGAAAAACTCTGCGCCATCATCCTGAATTATAGGGTGAAGCCCTTTACAGAACATTATCAAGTGTTCGGCAGTTTCTTCTTCCTCTCCACACGCACTGCATATTGTGTCTACCCCTTCGTATTTGGCCCGATATGTCTTGGTTCGCAGTACTCCCGTTCTGGCCTCAAACAGTAGAGAACTACCCCGAGTATTATCATAGATCCTTTCCTTGGCAATTTCCTGCTTAAACGTTCGGTAGACCTCTAGTACGGACTTCTTAATCATGCCCATTCTCCACATGTCAGTCTCCGTTTCCTTCACTTTCTTCTTAACCGATAGTTCTTTTTGGTTTGGCCACCTGCTGTTTTCTAAGTATTTACCAGTCAACTTCCTGGTTCGCTTCCTCCATTTTGTATCGACATTCTTCATGTACAAGTAGCTGAAAACCTTCCTAGCCCAACGCTCTTCCCCCATTTCTCTCAATCGCTTTTCAAATTTTATCTTGCTGCTAGCTTCCCTGCCCTCAAATGATGTCCATCCTATATCACTTTGTACTCCCTGATTTGGTGTATTCTCGTGAGCTCCTAAAGCAAGCCTATCTATTCCACGTTACTTAATTTCTAATCTTGCTTGAACTTCTGATCTCATGCACAAGACCGTATTGCCGAACATCAGCCCAGGAACCATGACCCCTTTCCATATTCCTCTCACGACATCATACCTATTGTAATTCCACAGTGCCCTATTTTTCATGACTGCTGCATTCCTGTTACCTTTAGTCGTCACGTATATTTCGTGTTCCCTCAGATACTCGGTCCCATTGCTTATCCATACGCCCAGATATTTGTATTTATCTGTTATCTCTAGCGTGACCTCCTGTATTCTAAGCTCACTACCTTCGTTGTCATTGAAAATCATGACTGCTGATTTTTCCTTACTGAATCTGACAGCAGAATACAGATAGCACACCTAGTGGTCTATAGCTGGATGAAAAGCCAATCTGCTCATGCATTAAGCGCTTAATACCATCTTTATCGTGTAGCCCAGATGGCATCCCTTTCGCCATACTAAAGGCTTAAGGTAGCATAAAATAATATTATTATCATCTACAAAGGTTGCCATATACCCAAGTTTTGCCGCCACATACGTTCTCGGCGGTTGCTTGATTAGAGTATTGTGGGTTGCGTAGTTACCGTAGCCGCCGTGACATGCCGCCACGTTCCCGTGATCCCAATTAAGTAAGCCGCGGGTTTCAAGATAAACAAAAAGGCATCAGTCATGACTAGTGCTGACGAACGTACAAATCTCGCCCTCTTGTAATCCCCCTCTCTCTGTGTAGAGTTCAACCCGCTCGCTGGCACGAAACTAGAGAAAGCGCTCGAAGCGTACGACGAATACCTGTTACTCCACTTGTACTAGACATATTCCAAAATTTAAAGTGGCATGCTATAGAGACTATTTCATTCTAACTCGGAAAAGTGTTGCAGGGCCTCTTTAAAGCAGAGCACCGACAGCTTGGCTGTAAAGAACGCGAGATACCTGCTTTCAAGGGGAACTGAATACACGTTATCACAAAGGCACACTTAATTGGCCGTTTCACTTGTTAACTTGCGGGGTTTTCTGGCGACACGCACGAAACAGCACTGGCATGTGGATCGTCATCTGTGCAAATGGAAATCAAACTGCATCTAATGAGCTTTGCAGGGCTTCTCATGGAAACTGTGGTACGTTCCAAATTGATTGCTACAGTTCCGTTTACTCCATTTACAGACCACTGGTAATTGCTATGCAAATTGAAAACCAAGTGAGAACTAAATGAAGTCACATCAGGACAGATCGCTGTGATGGCTCGTGGTATCGCTCACCCATGGATGTCCTGTACACCGCGAAGAGCATCGAGCGCACGAAGGGGTCCCGAGTAAGGGAGAAGCCGTGTCGTGCCAGCTGATTAAACGGGAGCGCAGAGCCCACGTAGGTGTCGAGGACCTGGAGCGCGCTCGTGTCACAGACGAGGGATTCTGTGAGGAGTGTGACCATGTGCTGCTGGAGGCAGAAGAACATGCGGCTTGGCACCCCGAGCTGTTCCAGGAGCGTGATAAGCTGCCGGTTGAGGAAGACCACACCTGTGATGAAAAGATTCAGTTGCACAAGCGATTGCACTCAGTGCCACGTGGAGAAAAGAGCAGTGCACCACACTACGCGATCACTATACAGCCGCCGGTCCCATCCAGAACAGCACTGGCAAGGGCTAGTAGTTCATAATTGTTGGGTTTTAACGTCCCAAACACCACGATACGATTATGAGAAACGCCGTAGAGGGGGGCTCCGGAAATTTCTATCACCTGGGGTTCTTTAAAGGCCAACTCTGACAATTTTTCCAGGTCAGCAGATCTGAATGAAATTCACTAGATGCGTTCATTTGCACGTTTGTGCCATTCAGGCCAAATTGCAGGGTTGAGAGTTCCTCAGATTCTTTTGAAATGAATTTTGAATCTTGCTTCGAAACGCTCACATCACTTGCCAAAATTAACGTCACACTCGCTTGGTTGCCATTGAGTTTTGTCGGGCGGAAGTGACGAACTGATGTGGCACTTTAGCATCTGCTTGTTTTCTATGGATTGTGTGGGTTTTGCCGGCGCTTCCTTGGTTGAGCAGGTGATTTTCTGTTCGGCGTTGGTGGGCGTGCGATAGGCGCCAAGTAGTGTTGCGTTGTGAGCCACACACACGATTCGCCATATATTCACCATAAAGCGTAAGAGTTTTAGCCGATCGCCATGGATGGCGTGGACAGGTAATTTCATCTGGCAGGCATTATGTGTAATCGAGCACGTTCCGGCAGCGTCAGGCAAATTTTTACGTCACACGTAGAAGAGCACTCGCTTGGGTTTGGGTATTGCGGTTTTTCGGTAGTTAAAAATTATTTAGAAATTTTTTGAGCATTTCAGTTTTCGGACACGTGAGAAGAGTGTCTAAGGAACGTAAAAGCACTATTATCCTGACATGGTAAAAAAAAACGCCGGACTTGGCCTTTGACGTGCACCTAAATGTAAGCACACAGGCCACGAGTATTTTCGCCACATTCAAAAATGCAGCAGCCGAGTGCCCCAGCTACTAGACCACCGTGGTGGGTCAAGGGCTGGTAGTTAATGACAAAAATCGACAGAGGAAAGAGCACGAGGGCTACGATAATGGGACATTAAGTACGGAGGCACACGAGAGTAAGCATATTCTTTAGCATTCGATACTACACTTTCGTATATGGAACTTCAATTATCCAGAGTAGAGATTGCCACTTAGCGAGCGAGACCATTGCCAGACAATTAAAGGGCGCCTCAAACTTAACACTGAGGCATAGCATATTCCGACGCCTTCCTACCGAGTTAAGTCATGCCGCTGCTAGTCATTAATTAGATGGGCATCATGTTGCGAACATATTACCTGTGTTTTCACGTCACAAAACCATGATATGATTATTATACTCCGCAGTGGAGGGCTCTGGAAATTTTCACCATCTTGCTCCTTAGCGTGCACTGCCATCGCACAGTATGAGTTACTCTTGCATTTATCCATCAAAATGCGACCGCCGCCATGATGCGAATACCAAGACATGTTTTGTAAGAAAAACTATTCTTGTTGGCTGGCCCCTGGTTCACGTTCGCGAAAACAATAACGAATGGCTTCTGCTCCGAGACGCTCGCCTGCCTCACCTGGCAGAAACACCACGTTCCCCGCTTACGCTCGTCCCGCGTGAAATGTCACAGACGGACCTGGGGGAGCAAGGTGGGGTGGGGGGAGGGGGGGGCAAGAGATGTGTCGCGCTTTTTTCTGGCCTGGTAGAGAGATTTCAAGCACCAAAATTGATAGAAAGAAAGGAATGAGGCAGAGAGGTAGGAGAGTTTGAAACGATGCATATTTGGGAAATTAACGCAAAGACGACGTAGACACGACACGAGGATGTGGTAGGAGTGCTGCAACAGTTGAGTTCATAAAAATGACTGTTAATTGCATATTTAAATATTCTGTTTGCTATATTTCTATGTACGCACGCTCATCAACTTGATTCACGTGACCTAGACAACGACAAAGCAATTGTGGAGAAGGACGGGCAGGGTGGTTAAGCATCCCAGGATAACCGGTTCGCTACCCTACATGGAAGAACAGGGTCGGGTTCACGTGGCCTGAAATTGACGTGCACGCATGGTTCGGTTTCGTTACTGTAAAACTTCACTTGTTGGACACCGCTCGTATTGTGCCCTCCTCCGGTATTCACGCCATTTTCAAAGAAATAAAGATAAAAAGGCAGAAAATAAGAGAAAAACAAAAGAAACAAGGAAAGCCGCGCATCTCCGCTGTTAGCGCAGCCCTTCGACACTAGTGCAAGCTGCACCAATTTATTTTTACCTCTATATAAGATATTAACAATTTAAAACAACAGCTGAGCTAGTTGACCGTATGCATTTTTCCTGACAATGGGACAAGAAGGTACGTCTATTCGTACGCATGTCTTGATATTGAGCCTTCTGTTTTCTTCCAACGCGTGGGCTTACACTCAGTGCGATTGCAAATGAGTGCGCAAGCACCTAGTGGGGGTCGCGATAACTATGCAGCGCACGATGCAAAAGTCAGCCAACGGCCGTAGACTCTATGATGGGTCATTTGGGTTTTGGGCATCCTTCGTCAAGAGAAGAGCGATTTCTAGCTTACTATGAATTGCTACTTCCGGCCACGTACTTGTAGGGTTAGCCCAGATTTTGCAGGACTGTCCCAACTTTTCTTGCAGAGTCCCGAGCCCCGGCCGCGCCACCCCTGTCGGGACAGCTGGATGTCTCGTATTGGCTCTGAACCATTCAGTTAGAAATTTCATGTGGTATAACACTGCCCAATAACGCGCGTCGCGCTACATAACAAGAGGTCAGCGCAAATCGCATGCCAGAAGCAATGTTGTGGTGGCTGCAAGGGGCTGTAACTCCTCTGGCTGAACTTCCGCGTGGAAAGCGACAACTTTAAGAGTGGATTTTCCAGCGAGGAACCGCGCACAGTGAGTTGAACCGCCCCCCCCCCCCCTTCGTACAGACTTCCTTCATTGAAGAGTTAGTAACTCTACGCCTGCTGCACTATAATGTTTGGCTCACTTGCAGTTCGGAGGCTTGACTACCACTCAGGAGAGTTTTCCGACGACGCTGAAAAAGTGTGGCAGGACCCCTCTAAAGGGGCCCTGCAACACTTTCTGACTATGGTCGGAAAACAACGCTGCGGATCAGTAGTAGAGGCTCCCGAGAACACGTGAGCCAAATTTTACAATGCAGCACGTGGCCTTGAATTGACGAGAAATTATCAAAGGCAGCTGAAAATTGCTTTCTCTCCTCGACGAATGACGGAACACGCTCAAAAATCGCTCGTAGAAGGTCATCTATCAGCCATTGGCGGATTCAAACATGGCGTGCTCGGTCGTTACAGAGATCGTCGTGTGAGGCCGCGACTGTCCACGAGTGCGCACGAGATCGCACTGAAAAAGTCGCTTATTCAAAGAAAGCTCAAGGTCACGAAGCACGTCACGCGCGTATTTTCTTTGCCCCTGCCATCCCCCTCTGCTTAGCTTCCAGAGCTTTCGTCGGGACGAGGAGAGATAATGCGATTGTAGCATGCACCAAATCTTTTTAAGAATCCGTCCAGTACGAGGAGAGTTACAAACTTTTGCGGCGTTTTATTTGTGAGGCAATAAGCTGTTCCAGTGAATTCATTCCATGGTTACTCAGAAATGTTTCAGGGCCCCTTTAAACCAGTGTCGCCGCAACCTAGTGGTATACCGCATGCACAAAATTTAGAGTTGCGCTACGACACCGACTGCATAAATAACTTGCATATGTTTTCATGTAGTGTTAGAACGTTCTAAGAAATCTCAGAAATTGCGTATCTGTATAGTTCAGAAGTTCTTGATTCTGTTGGTTTTTATATCAGGGTGAGATTCCGTAACAATTGGACGATGAGTACAATACTTTTTGAGGGACGGGAGGGGGCTAAGAGCAATTACCTTTAGCCATACGCGCCAGTACATCCTATAGGATCCAAGTCTGAACAAAAAATATGAAAGAAAGGATGACCAGCTATTTTGTATCGCAGCTTTGGTAAGCCATCCAGGAACCACAAGTGAACTGAACTTATGTTTGTGAAGGGTAAACTTACTGCAACATTGAAAACATTTTTGCAGTGTTCCCACGAGTTAACAGAGCAACAAATTAAATGAGCACTGGGAGCTTACGAGGAGCGGAAATTTTGATCACTTCGATGTTCTCGGAGTTGACGCAGTTGAACTTGCGCATGCTCTTCCGGAGAACCAACTGGCGACCAGGGAGCGAAGGATTGAGGCAAAGCATACCCTTGTATCCGGCGTAGCGTATCTGAATGGCTGACGGCGTCTCAAGAAGCTTCAGCTTCTTTTGCACCTATCAAAGAAACAAGATCACTTGTCACGTTCTAGCAACTATGCCACTTGCTCAACACTTTCTTCAGAATTTGGCCTTAACACTACACCCCCTACGCGACCACTGAAAGCTGTAGTTTACGACGGCTTTTTCGGTGCGGTACTGACTAGACTTATTGAACGCCTACTCATGCTACAGTAAGGAAGGCTAAAGAAATGCGTTAATGGTCAATAGCAGGAGAGAGAAAAATTGCACAATGGCTGCAAGTGCAATTTTAAGGCACTAACATGCAGTACATTCTCCTATCGCTCACGAAAAAGTGAAAAGTGTAAGAGTTTTCATTGTTTCTTCAAAAGAAAGGATCCACTGCAAATGTACGCACCTCTTTAAGCAGTTCTGATGAAATCATACCAATGCCATCTGAGAAAATATACTGTTCATTTGTCACAGAGTTTTCCCCTCCAAGAACATCAGGAACTTCCAGTACAGAGTCGCTGAGCAGGGAAACTATCACGGATTCTTCAGTGGACGAGAAGCACTGGCCCATGCGTGCCATCTTCTTCGCAGTGCTTGAGATGCCACTGAAGTCGCCCATCCAGTAGCGGATCATATCGGTGGAGTAACCCTTTCCATCCTAGACACACATGAAGAAAAAATACGAAAACTGCTTGGAAATAAACAGCATGCGTGCACTTACAGCAAGTAAGGTGACGCAGCGCACCTCAGCCAGTCCCCACACAACAGAACGACAATCCGTATTCCCAGCAGGCAGGCCCCTCTACTTACTGCTACAACTCTGAATAAGGCGACACTTTAGATGGCTCGTCACTACCGACCTTGTCTGGCACTTCAAATAAGAAAGGTATACCTTGAAAAAAAAAACGTGGCTAATTCATCTTTTATTTAGGAATCGGTATAACACGGGAGCGAAACGTGTCCTTGCAGAGGTAGTGGAGCGTTCATTGTTTGAATGCTGCAGTAACAAATTGCAATATCACGCAAAGAATGCTAAGCAGCTCTAAACTTGCAGCGCACACCTCAAGCAGAAAGCACGCAAGAAATTAGCATAGACAGGACGAGCGCGGACTAACTACTGTCCAAGCTCGACACTTAAAGCACGCTGCCCAAACAAAAGAGACTCAAGAAATGAAAGCACAAGTACACACAGGACGAGCGCGAACAACTCGCGCAACTCTTACTATTTTGTGCGTGAGCAGCGCGCTCCTTTCGTAAACGTGGCACAAAAAAAAACAATAGCTACAGTGTCAATTTTTATGAAAGGTAACACGGGAGCACGTGGCCTGCGGACTCCGGCAGTTGCTGCGCGTTCAAGTGGAAGTGAGAGCAACCACATTCTCTCTTCACAGCATCTCCCGGCGAGCGAAACAAGCAGTGATTGATATGGAACCACTCAAGATTGCAACCACTGCGCCCTTCAAGGCGATTACTGGCCTCTAGCGTAATGGCCTCGAAGGGTGAGGGGTTGCAATCTTGCCAGCTGTTCTATATTATCAATGACTGCTTTCTATAATTACGTATATTGTAAGCGCATGTACCACATTTACAAATCTCGCCGCCAGTTAGCGCCGTGCGGCCCGCCAGCCACGTGCTCGCGTACTGTACAACTTGGATCATCAAGGCTGATTAAAAGCAATTTACGCGACCGCGACAAATACGTTGCAAGACCCGCCCATAATTTGATGTTCGACAAAAGTTACTCCGCCCATGCGGGAAGGTGGTGGGCGCGTTACGACATTGGATTATAAAAACTTGTTTGCCGAGCCACTTACCGTAGCGTAGAACCATGCTCCATGATCTCGCAGTTGGCTGCACGAAGAAGCCAGAAGCTTGAATTGCCTGTCTCCTACTGTCAAGCCGTGCCGAAGAGTGTCGGTGACGACCCTTTCGATTGCCATATGCCGACAGGAGCCAGACATGAGTGAATAGGACAAGTGTTGTAAATTGTCATCACGAAAGGACACTCGTAGCGAGTACTCCGGGTCGAATTTACGGAGGATCCTGTTCTCGTTGTGAAGCTGAGGAGGGAGCAAAAGCACTTTGGATGGAGTGACTATGGAACGTCGAACCAAGCGCGTTCCGCTGGGCGTCTTGGGGAGGTGAAAAGCAACTCGGCAGAATTTGGCATATAGCTTCGGCAGACAGCGAATGATATCGACAACCTCGTGTTCTTCTATCGCACTGCGAATAGCAAAAAGAGCAGCCTCGAGGGCAGAACTATTATTCAGGGCAAAGCTAACCAAGTCCTCTTCGAACTGTTCCAACTTGTCGCGAGCGAGCAAAGCCATTTGAGAATATGCATCATTTCCTTGCTGTAGAACCGCACTCAAGGCGTAACAAGCGGAGAAACCAAGACGCGGCTTAACCTTCATGTTGCAACGCTTTTTAATCTGTTTCAGCTGCGAACTAATTTTGCAAGTCGTCATCGGAGAGTACTGAAAAGTTGTTTCCCGCTTGCAACGAGCCGTTAGGCAACTGATCGCTTGTCTTTCTTTCAGCTTGTTCTTAAGACTCAACTTTATGACAGAGCTTGCGCCAATCTCACAGCTGCGCATCAACCAAAAGCAAGGACATCCCAACTGGAACACTCTGTTGAACCATGCGCTGTCGGTGCTGGCATTGGGCGTGTCCCAGTTGCCGGGATTTCTCGATCGCAGATACAACAGTGGTGTGGTAGTGAGCTGAAGGTAGATGCCTATGATCTCTTGGTTTCTCTCTACCTCGTTGACAACAACTCTAAAGATGCTGCCGTATGGTATCTCCAGCTTGAACGCACTGGAAGCTTGCCTGCATCCGTGACTGTGGTTCAACAAGAGCAGCACTTGCAATAACCTCTCGTCATGTTTGAAAGCGCAAGAGAGCGAGTAGGCTGGAGGGCCTTCGTCACTATAAATCACGTGGCTTTGAGCGAACACGCAAAGGTCAGCGAACGTACCGAAAGCGAGATACTCCAGAGGAGTGTGCGTTTCGTACGGAGTTGTCTCGCGCCAGAAACCACGTTCGCGGTCAGGAATCAGCCACTGAAGATGTCCCTTGAACGGAACTACCTTGCCCAGAAAACACCACTGATGAGCTATGCTGGAGCATATGGAGGATAGCTCGCTATCGGAGGCTGAATGGTCCAGCAGCTTAATCGTGCACACAGCCTGGAACAGGTTCTCTTCAGAGTGCGTACTCGATTGCACCACAACATCACTCATGTGAAAACGCACTCTCTGGGATACGTTCACTGTAGTGAAGAATCGCCTATACCGCGAAATGTAGTCTTGACGCTCGCCGCCTTGATGTTTCCACATGACGAGAAAAGACAGGCGGTTTGCCATGTCTCAGGCTGCTCCTGAAACAGGGAAATAGGAATAATTTTGTAGGCATTCGCATGCGAACAGCGGCCTCTGCATAACGTGGAAGCGAGTCACACACACCGGACGTTCTAACATTTATGCAGCTATATGGAAGCCACGTTGGCGACTATCCGTGGATTGAACGTATATGTCAGCCTCTAGACTTCGCAGTTAATTTAGTAGGGCATCGGCGCTATGAACGACTCACTGATTTATGGTCGGTCATCTTTGCTTATGACAGAAAGCGAGTGCACCCGTTTCCGAGGTGGAAGCACCAGCTCCACTAGCCGTTCCGTACCCTTAAATTCCGTACCCTTAAAAACAAACGCATAAATATTATGAATCAAAGTTCAATGGTTGTCTGAAAACCTGATGGTGCCCATTTGGTACTCCCGATTTTTTTCAAGTCTAAGATTGAGTGCAACAAAAATATCGTACCAAAATGATGATCAATATGATCAACGGGGTGTCTACAGCTTAAGTAATGTGCTGTAGACGTTGGTGACACTACAACTAAGAAAAAAAGCCTCTACTTATTACGAGGACGCAGCTGAGCGCTTGTGCAGTACCAAATCATTTTCGTTCACTCCTTTTTGCGAATATGACCAGACACACGGCACCACTTCTCAGAACTTCGTGAAAGCAACTCATCTTTATATTGCCAAGACAAATTTGGACACGCAGATATCGAATAGTGGTGGTCTGTGGCCTTTAAAACAACGGTACCCAATAGGGTACTCGGAGACTGAGAAGGATAATACTCAAATGCATAATTAAAAATGATTCAGAGCGATTAACGCATGTTCAGCAGATTGCAAATAAACCTTTTATATTCATGTTTAGTATAAAGAACAACGTTGGGCGAGTTTGTCCAAGCCTAGACAATAAGATGCAATGGCGCAATGTGAACCACCATTTTACAAACAAGGAGAGGAAGAATGAGACAGGCTATATTACAGCATTCCAAAGAACCTTTTATTTAAATAAGAATAAATAAAGCTGTAGTATTTGTCATGTCTCGGCAACGGCTATTCCTTTTGACTTAGAAATAAAAATTTCAGAAAATACTTAACTTCAAGTTTTTTGTTTAAACACAGCCACTAATATTTTGCCTACATAAGCACAATGCACATACGCTGTGTAGCCAAGTCAGTTATCGTAAACAGGGGTATTCAAAAAGTGTTGAACTAGTGACTTCATGGTGGGCCTTTGATGTCCATGAGCGTAGTCTTATTTGTGGCATGTTAATATCAGAAACTTAAGAATAACCCATGAAGACAAGTTCCCGTTTCTTCCCAGTTGACCGTTTCTATATATTAATCACCAAATGTTACGCTCTACTAGTTTTGCGTTCAGGTACATGAATCTCGGCCCAGCGTCAAGCAGCAAGCAAATGTGCAATGTAAGAAGGAAAAAAATGTTCAGCTGTTGTCAGTTGAACTCGGGGTGATACCAGAAAGATTTCAATTCAATATTTGTTAAAAATAACACTAGCACTAGTGCTAATTTGAAGCAAGCTGAAGAGACATCATCTGTGGGTAAGAAACTCAAAATCCAGAGCCGACGAAGTGCCCTATGTAGGTTTTCCTTTTCTTTCAAGTGACCATGTGTTTTGCAATGATCGCTTTCATACATAGATAATTGCTTCGCGTCATGTGAGGATTTGAGAAAGAGTGCAGTCGAGACACGCCACCAACGGCCAGGATTACAATTGCGCTAATATGAAAATTTCGCCATAGTAGCCGTATACTATTTACCATTATCACGGAATTCATAGCCAAGTGGAACAAAAGCAGTATTATTAAGTTTATACATTCGTACAGCAAATGTGGGTCTGAATATGCAAAAACACAGATTTGGGCGCACCTCAAAGAACCGCAGGTGATTGAAATTTCCGGAGTCCTCCACTACGGCGTCTCATCATATGGTAAATTAAGGACGTCAAACCCCACATATCTATCAATCAATATGCAAAAACAAAAATAAGGGCATAATATTTCGAGCTGCCTCAGTATTGAAGCTACAATTGAGTTGCAAAAGTTAATTTATTATTGATTTAATTATTTACCGCCAGGCCGAGGAGCGCGAAAAAAAAACGAAGTATGGAATAGGGCGGGTAAAAAAAAACGTGAATTGACTCCCAACACATTTGTTCAATGGCGATTAGTAGAGGCCAGATTCAGAGGTGCTAAAAAAGCCAGGTTTGAGGGGTAAAAAATAGGCGGGCAATATACTGTTTCAGGCCCCCAAATCGTAAATATGGGCACAATAATCTTTAAAAAAAAGTGTGAACTTTGAGTTTAATGTGCGGGACTTGTCTCAATGACGGGGAAGCAAACAGAAATGTTAAGTTTATGGCGGTACAAAGGCGCCAATGGTTTAGCATATCCAGAATTTTTTTTTCCCCACAGAGCTTGCAGAATACGGTCTCTCCTTTTCTAGTCTAGCATAGCGAGCCAACTGTCCACCGTCGAATAAACAAGCTCCTGGGTCTCTCTTTTCGACATGGCTGAGAACGGCAACACGGGAGCAAATAGCCAGAGTAGTAATTAGTCAGAAGGGTCTCTTGCCTCGAATTCAATTGGGCTAATCGCCAAGGGCCAATTTCTTTTCTCTCTGTAGAAACTCGAGAGCGGAATAGAGAATTTCAGGCAGGCAATAGAAATGCATACGGCGCTCACAATTTCATCTGCCAAGATTTCCAATGCTACGCGGCCGGGAAAGAGGTGAAATGTCAGACACAACGCCGCTTGACTTTCATCTCACGGGCATGCGCCCTATGGGGGAGGTGACGTATACAACGAGAAATGGGCCTGCGTGTCACATAACTACGTGACACAATTATTCGAGGTGAAGTGTGCAACGTTTGCAATATATTGCCTGAATAGAAGTATTAAGGCTGACAGAAATATTAAAACATACAAACAGAATCTATGCACTATATATTTTTTTTAACTCCGTATCGAACGATATGAAAGACTAAGCTGCCTCCATTACGTTTGCATTGATGTTATTGCCGCTCTCGCATCAAGCCGGTGCCATCATTCACAACTCTTGGCTTGTTTTTGGTGCATCGTCCCTTGAAGCATTTCCAACCTTTCGCGCATAGAGGGATTCATCCCACATAAACAGGCAGTACAATACAGAGAACGTCGAAACAACAATACCACTTGCGTATAGGACCTGGAATGGGCATGTCCTACGAATGTAACCTTACGAAACTAACAGAGTTGATCCGATACTGAAAAGGCAAGGGAAGGAATTTGGCTTGTGAAGTCTACACCGGGCGAGTGGCAAAAGTTAAGCTCACCTCCTCGCATGATGCTTTCGCAGCTTTAAATGAACCAAATCCAATAAAAAATTCTAGTGGTGCAACGTTTTTTTATCGGGCACGCAACAACTTCCAGTGCCTAAGTAAAATTTCTCATGTCACCCAGTGAAGCACTGTAAGAATTACAAAAAAAAGTAGAAAGAAAAGCCACATGATCTTTTTTTAATCTACATAACTTTTCCCTGATGACATTCCACGATCTCGCATTCTTTCTCCATCGTCCTGCGGCTGCACAGAAGCACCTATTGTTTCCTATGCATGCGAGCAGACGCCAGGGAGATGCCAAGCAGACGACGCGACACGGTTGAATACATGTGTAGAGTCTAAATAATCAGCCTTAATTCCTATTAGCTAAGAGGCCTTGGGTAAGGAACGCATGAGGTGGTTGCTCCCACAGATGAGATGGTTGCCCCTCGTAGAGCTCCGAAATCTCAATTTTGCCTGGCAACATTAATACCAGTATTCAACTGTACTTGAAAGCAAAGCGAGATTAAATAGCGTTCATATAGGCACCAATTTTGAAAATAGGCATTTGTAGGCACTTATAAGAATTGAGGCACAAATGCCAAAAAAAAGGCATTTATAGGCACTATAAAAGCTCACCTTAACCTCCAATTCATGCTCATATTAAAGTGGCGTGACAGGAACACCAGAAACAAAATAGGCATTTGCCTATAATCAGGTCTCTAGTGGTTAGTTCCTCACGAAAACGATTATTGGTAAGGATTGTGATTGCATTCGTTTGCTGCGAGTGGTAGAAAAGCTTCAGGTTTCACCAGAAGGCCTGCCTACATCATAGTGGGAACCAAAGTGATGAGACGTATAGTGCGGCGACTAAATATGTTGTGAAAATCACTACAGTGTGTATATTCTATGAAATAAGTTGAAGTGGCAAAAAAAATCGATGCGCCGTTAGATGAGAAGGGCTGAACTTCGAGGCTGTTATGCTAGCAATGTGAAGTTCAGTCCACTTGTATATAGTTTATTCAGGACAGTAATTCGGAAAATTCAAGCCAACAATCCAGTGGAATTAACCATTGAAATGGAAGATTTTTTTTCTTAAAGCCACAAACCGAAACCTATTACTATATGCAACATAACATACCCTCTTCATTTAGATGTGAATCTTTGCTTTTTTGTAATGCGTACGGTAACACGAGTTGCGCTATCAGCATTGAAAATTGACGTCAAAATGGATAGCGGGTAGCGTGAGCAGAGCGTTAGCCACGCGTTTGCAGACATGCGCAAAAATTCGTCTTCATCCTTGCGGGTGCACCGTGCGTTGCCTATCTACGTATAGGTGGCTCGATGCGCATCATCCAGCTGCAGTGGCGAGGACATGGGCTGTCTTTAAGCTTGCTTGTTCTCTTACCTGCACATTATTTTAAAAATTGGCTACGAAATGCACCCCTCCGAAATTCTAAGTAGCCGAAAAGTAGCCATGGTGCCAACCGAAAATTTTCGTAGCCAAACTGAGTCCTGAAGTAGCTAACTTGAGGCAAAGTAGCCACCAACAGTGGCCCTGGGAAGGGTCGTTTTGAAAGAATTGTTTTAGAAACGTGTGTGGCAGTTTTCGAACATCGGGTAATCGCAATTCCCTGGATAGACGAAGCTGATTGTTAACAAGTACAACTTATGAACGCCCTATACATCTTAAATAATTTTGACATAACTTTTCCGTGGCGACCGGGTTTCACCATGTAAAACAAGACATCACTGGGCGTGGGCCGGGCGCGATTTTGTGGGAACCTTCTCGAACAATTGCAAATGTTTTTCTCGCGCACCAAGCGTATGGATGAGTTTCCAACTTGCGCTAGCACCACAGAAGATAGAATGCAACGGTGTCCCAAAAAGTAAAAAAAAAAATGTGCCGCCTGCATTTTCCCACTGGGGGAACTCGGGTAAGTGCGTTGCCGAGTGGTGGGGGTATCGCGTGAATGTTGCTTAATTAGGTATGGTATGTAAATTGTTTACGGTTATTTCGTCTTTATTATTCTTATCATTGAATTAAGGAGAAGCGTTGCCTTCGATGTGAAGCGAAAGCCAAGTAAAGACGCCCTTGACGTAATTCCGAAAGCGCGATCCAGTCGCTACGTATACGCGGTGGCCAGTCGACGGTTGCGCAGCGCGACCACTTTTTTAGTAGCAGACGCTGCCTGCGTCGGCCTTGCGAGGCGAGAGAGGGAAGCGACAGTTTTGTGGGTGTCATCCTGGGCCGGCACGAGACTCGATCATGCACAGTGTGTGTGTGGACGGCGCCACCACCAACGCGGAAGCGCGACATTGGTGAGACTAAGAAATGACGCGCATTTAAAAGAAAGCCCGAACGGCTGCGTCTATCTGCGTTAAAGGGCCCGTAAACCACCTCAGATATTTTTTATTCAAACATTTAGAGTAAACACACGCATCGTGTGCAGAATGGCGTCGCAATCAACGATTCTACACGTGGCAGCGCTACGAGCTGCCGGCGCGCCACAAGTTCCAGAAAGCAATCTCTCCTTTCCGGGCCTGCGCGTGATGCGCCAAGCCAAGTATGGTGTGATTGGTCGAGCAAGAGCCTAGGACTTGCGGTCAGTCTGCAAGCAACTGCCCGCTTGCGTGCAACACGTACGGGGCACGGCATGTCCCCGTACAGGTCCATCGCGTTGACGATCCATTGAAGGCGTGCGAACAACGCAGGGTTCATACCGGCGCGTTTACGGTGGCCATGGTTCGCCAACAAGCACACAACTACGAGGCAACTAACGAAGTCGACGGTTGAAGTCGCGGCAACCGGAAGTAGACTGTTTCAAGCAGCGCGTCAGCGATATGACATATGCCACGCGAGATTGGGGGGGAGGGGGGGGCATGGGTGAACATTTTTTAAAAGCTCGCTATCTAGGGGGGTGTTGCATGGGTGGGGCGCTCGACGAGAGTGCAAAGCGGCTTGGGAGAGGTAACCAGTGGAGGGGAGCACGGGAGAGCGAAAGGAATGATCATTGCAGTTTCGATAATCAAACGCGTCCAACCTCGCAATTTCTGCACCGTTTCGAAAAATTGTGGCTCCGTGTTCGTTGTGCACTCACGCACAGTCTCCCCACCACAACTTAATTTCGACCTCTGGGTGGCCCTTTAACAGCGGCACCGCGAGCTCCATTGCTTGTGCAAAATAATATCTGATGTGAATTTCGACGTGTTTTCCGATATTCTGCCTAATTAACGGCTCAAGCAAAGATGCGCTACTTCCAACAGTGGACGGAGAGACCTTAATGCATTCGCAGCAACCTTTTTTTTTTTTTTAGTTCTGATGGCGTGAACACTGTTCGCCTGTGCCCTGATCCTCAACTTCTACAAAAAAAGTAAAAAAAAAAGAAGCGCGCCATGGTCGCGAAGGCTATAATCGCGTCGCTAAAGGAAACATCGGGCAGCGACAGCGTGTATCAAACAAACGATTCATGCAGGCTCTTTTTGACGCTTATATTTTGTTAATCTCGGACACCTCCCTTACATAGCGTCGACAGTTTCAAGAAGCGCTCCTTCGCCAGAGCAGCTGATAAGGCGAACGCTTATCGCATCATGCCACAATCCAAGTGTGAGCATCCCATATTGTAGTACGTACTACTGTCGTTTGTAGTAGCGTGGACATGGTTCGGCCACCGCTCACAGTTTTCCTTTAGTTCACCGATGCCCCTATTATTGCCAACCGCTCTGAGCCGCAATCACTGTATACCCTAGGCGCTTCATTTTGGTGGGAACAGGTTAGCCCAGGAGATAGCTAAATTTTTATGAGCTTGATTATTTGATTTCACATCCACGTGACGGTATTATTAACGTTCTATAGTTACGGTTAATTTCCTGACTGAGTCACCTGCAAAAGCACGGCGTGTGACAGTACACAGATCTTTTGTTAGAATAGAGCTACTACGTATAGTCGTCTTAAGCATTATTATGAGCCTCGACCGGTGTTCACGTTTATACTCACGTCTATACTCACAGGTATTTCAAAGCAGTGTCGTTCGTATACCGTTTCAATATTTAGTAAGCCCCACCGCGGTGGTCTAGTGGCTAAGGCACTCTGCTACTGACCCGCAGATCACGGGGTCAAATTCCGGCCGCGGCGGCTTCATTTCCGATGGAGGCGGAAGTGCTGTAGGCCCATGTGCTCAGATTTTGGTGCACGTTAAATAACCCCAGGTGGTAGAAATTTCTGGAGCCTTCCACTACGGCGTCTCTCATAATCACACGGTGGTTTTTGGCACGTTTAACCCCAGATATCAATCAATCAATATTTATTAATTATTGGCGTCAATTACGTTAGAGAGGTCTTCCAGAGAATTTCTTGATTATATCTTATGCTTTCATCTCTTCCAATTAAAATTACTTAACTTGTTTGAAAGCAGTCAGAACTCTTTTTCGAAGATACTCTGTCAAATGGAACCAAGAAGAGCAGTGAATATATGAGATATTGATGTTAAAGAGCATTCACATCGTGGTCTAAGAAGCTAATTATAGCTTGCCAGATTCGTGAGTCGACTCATCCAGACTGAGATCGAACCGTGTGTCTGGGTGAGTAACGTTTTGGTGCGCGAGTCTGAGTTAGTCCGGCTGAAGAAAATTTTCGCGAGTGTGGGTCTAATGCTCGAAATATACTTCATGAGGGAGTGAGTGAGCTCCACAAGTTTTGCCGAGCTATGGACTAGACTTAAAGCTCTCAGTTAAATCGAAACTGAATACCGGGTCTCGGCACAGCCCTTTGCATTTCTAAGGGATAAAACTTCCGAAAGTTCAAACGCGTTGGCATCCAAAATGATTAATTCAAACTGTGGAAACCCCCTGGCTTTCCTCGCAGAAGTCGGCCTAGAATGATTACACTGTGTTGCAAAAGCAAAGCAAATCAAATTGCCTTGAGATCCAAACAACGAAACGGCAATTCACAGCAGATGATAATTCGGACACTACGCTGGAGCTGTTGGTGAAGCTGCAAATGATGCAGCTTGACCAAGCTGCATGGTCAAGCTGCAGACGATTTGTGACGTAAGAAACGCAAGTGAACGCAAAATTGCGATTAATTCTAATGGGTATTACGTTCGACCGTAATGTAAATAAACGTGTTTCAGGGCATAAGTAGCGTTTCATATTTCGACATGAAAGCTTACTACTCATATATGCATGTCTGTTTTGTGCTGGCGTATCTGATCCCTTCTGTTCGCTGGTATAGAGCTTGATGAACGTAATTTATGAAATCGTCTGTCACAAACGTGTATAGCTCGCGATAACGAGTCCAGAGGCGCCTTTCTTTAGTTCTGTCCGTGCAGTGTGGCGCGATATCTATTCATTCTACCACCCACCCACTAATTCGAACTCTGCTTAACTACGACAACTTTATAGTCCCCTTCGGATTCAAATTAACGAGCTTTTATTGTAGTACTATAACCAAGAGGTCGAAGACTGTATGCGCGAGTGCGCAGTATTAATTTCGAATCAGTCTGCTTTCACTACAACCACCGGGAGCAGCACACACGCCCTGGTTGTTATGCACGGCAAACCCTGTCGCGAATTATCAGAAATAGGAAGGCCACAGTTAAATGTGAAATCAGTGCCAAGACGAAGAATGAGGGGAGAAACACATGACACCGATCATAGCCCTTGGATGTTTACCGGGCCTCGTTGACACTTCACTACGGAGGCAAAACTAAAAGGGTGGGGTGCAGCATGGTACGCAATCCTCGGCACATGTTCCTTGTTCTGTCAGACGCAACTCATAGCACCGCGAGAAGACTGATGCACCGATCCTTGAAATGTGCCTAAACTTAATGCAGCGGCCAAGCGTACCATTAACGGGTGCATTTCAGTCGCATCGTACTCCTTTTACGTATAGACAACACCCACACATCGAAATCTGCACCTTGGACAGTGAACTGAATTAAGGTTACCCATCTGATGTTCATAAACACCCCCTTATGCGAAAAGGAACTGCCTTTCCGATTTTTCCACTGTCCCGACAAGCGCGACCAAAAAATTCAAATCCGAAGCGGCTCGTACTTACATGTGTGGTTGCTAGTCCTTACGCCGTTGAGCGCCAAATGAAAGACTAAAGTGGGCGGGAGAGCCAATATATACCGTCTCGATATGACGTCATTGCAACCACTGTGCTTTTCAGCACGTGGGAAAAGAATTCGCACAGAGCTGGGTGCTCACCAGGCATAAGATTCGTCACTGTTGCCTGGATTCCTTCTTTAATAGCGTGCGTAGCGAAAAGTGCATCCGTACCACGAAGAGCGCCTTAAGAGCATCACGTGACCTGTGCAGTAACGTGAAGGATTGAGCCTTAACAGCGCTGAAAATCTCAATGGAACGGAAATCTTCAGCCTGGTGTTGCTTAATTGAGTATCGCTGTCTCGTCAATGGTTGACCCGAGTCACTGCAGGGCCAATAATCTATGCCGTGCTGCTCCGCGGTTCTCAGTGTTTTTCATGCATCTCTGCATTTATATGTGGGGTTTAACGTCCCACATATAAATTTAACGTTTATATGTGAGAGACGCCGTAGTGGAGGGCTCCGGAAATTTTGACCATCTGGGGTTTTTTAACGCGCACCCAAATCTGAGCACACGGGCCTACGACATTTCCGCCTCCATCGTAAATGCAGCCGCCGCTGCCAGGATTTGATGTTATATATATATATATATATATATATATATATATATATATATATATATATATATATATATATATATATATATATATATATATATATATATATATATATATATTGTTACAGGAAAGAAAGTATATGCGAGAAGAATATATTGCGAGCAAATGCGTACAACGCTGCTGCAGTCCACGCACGTTCCCCTCAGCACTTCGTCGTCATCATTCTCAGGTATCTACTCAGCCCGTGACATTACCCGCCGGTGGCAGAAGCACCGTCTTGGTGCGATCAATCCTCGGGGCGTGAGTAGTATGGTTTAAGTCGCGAGACGTGCACTATATCAGTTGGTACTGAAGCTGTTGCTGACGTGGTATGGAGTGGAGCAATCTCATAGGTCACGTTTGTGACCTTGCGTATGACGCGGTAAGAGACAACGTAATGGTACATGAGTTTTTCGCAGAGACCAACACGTCGGGGGGGTAACCACATCAAGACGAGCGACCCCGGGGAGTACTGCACGTCGCAGTGCCGGTGATCATACGCATTTTTTTTTTTGTTAAGCTGCGAGGCACATAAACAATCCCGGGCGACTTGGCGGGCAATGTCAGCACGGGCCAGGGCATCACTAGCACGGGCAGCCGATGAGGTGGCGTCAGAATGGAGCATAGTGTCTATGGGTAAAGGCGGGTCATAACGAAACATTAAAAAAAAAGGTGAAAATCCAGCTGTATCATGACGTGAAGAGTTGTATGCAAAGGTAACGAAAGATAGGCGGATGTCCCAGACTTTGGGATCCTTGGAGACGTACATCGCTAACATGTTTGTCAGGGTATGGTTGAGGCGTTCGCTGAGGCCGTTGGTTTGTGGGTGGTACGCTGTAGTGAACTTGTGGTGGGTAGAGCAGGATCGCTGAAGCTCGTCAACTACTTTAGATAGAAGACAGTGGCCGTGGTCGGTGATCAACTGACAAGGAGCACTATGACACAGAATGATGTCATGAAGAATGAAATCGGCTACATCAGTAGCGCATCTGGTGGGGAGGGCTCGTGCAACGGCATACCGCGTTGCGTAGTTGGTAGCGATGGCAATCCACTTATTACCGGTGGTCGACGCGGGAAAAAGTCCTAGAATACCGAAGCCGACTCTGAAAAATGGCTCATCTGGTATTTCAATGAACTGGTAGCTTTCACTCTATTGAAATGCCAGATGAGCCATTTTTCCGAGTCGGCTTCGGTCTTCTAGGACTTTTTCCCGCGTCCACCAGCTACCAGGAGGACCCAGCGCAGGTGTCTTGCAGCGCTGGCAGAGGTCACACGCCGCAACGTGCTGTCGCACGGAACGGTAGAGGCCAAGCCAAAAGAATCGTCGGTGAACGCGGTCATACGTGCGTGACACCCCTAGGTGTCCAGTGGTGGGTGCATCATGAAGCTGCAGTCAAAACGTCTGAGTGGAGATGCGCAGGAACAACGAGCAAGAACTCAGCCCCATCAGGACAGGCGTTGTAGCGGTGCAAGTTGTCGTTGTGAATGACGAACATCTGTAAGGAGTGGTCAGGGTATTGAGATTAAAGACCATCGAAAATACGGCGCAAAGAGGAGTTGTGGTGTTGTTCAGCAGCTATGTTGGTGAAGGCTGTGAGTGAGAGAACGAGGGCTTCTTGTCCATCTTCCATCATTTCAGGGGGATCGATTGGGTAACGAGACAAGCAGTCGGCATCCTTGTGAATTTGTCCGGATTTATAAGATTCGAAAAAAGTGCACTCTTGTAAGCGCAGCGCCCCGCGACCAAGGTGCTCCGTAGGGTCCTTGAGCGAGGAGAGCCAGCAAAGTGCATGATAGTCCGTAATAACTGATAATTGTCTGCCATACAGGTATGGTGGGAATTTCGCAACGGGTCAGACGAGAGCTAAGCACTCGCGTTCTGTGATCAAATAATTTTGTTCCAGTCGGTTTGCGTACGCGATGACGCGGTGCATTCCTTGTTGTCATTGCGCCAGCACTGCGCTTCTGCCGTGGCCACTGGCATTGGTACGAAGCTCCATGGTGGCAGATGGGTCGAAGTGTGCCAGGACTGGTGGATTGGTGATAATGGCAACGAGCGACGAGAAGGCGTTTACTTACTGTTGGCCCCATATGAATGCGACAACTGTTTTCGTTTTGAGGAGACTGGTTAGAGGACGGGTTATTTCAGCGAAATTCTTGACAAAACAACGGAAGTAGGAGCCCAGTCCCAGAAAACTTCAGACGTCCTTGGCTGAGCGAGGTGTGGTGAAGTCGCGAACTGCTCGGACTTTCGCACGGTCTGGTCGTACGCCCGCAGCATCAACAAAATGGCCGAGTACGCAGATTTGGCGTTGCCTAAAGCGACATTTGGGCGATTTAAGTTGCAGGATGGCACGTCGGAAAACATTAAGCACTGTAGACAGACGGCTAACGTGGTTCTCGAAAGTAGACGAAAAAACAATAACACCGTCAAGATAGCATGAGACAGATGTACCACTTCATGTCCCGAAGGAGAGAGTCCATCATGCGCTCAAAAGTCGCGGGAGCATTACATAATCCAAAAGGCATCGTTTTGAACTGATAAAGTCCATCAGGAGTCATGAAGGCCGTCTTCTCTCTGTCTTGGTCGTCCACAGCGATCTGCCAGTAGCCTGAGTGAAGGTCTATTGAAGAGAAATATTTGGCAACGTGTGAGCAATCGAGTGCATCATCTATGCGCGGTAGAGGATATACATCTTTCTTGGCAATATGGTTGAGATGGCGGTAGTCAACACAGATTATTCAGCTATTGTCTTTCTTTTTAACAAGTACAACGGGTGAGGACCAGGGACTAGATGTGGGTTCAATTATGCGCTTATGAAGCATTTTATCCACTTTCCGCTGTATAATAGCCCGCTCCGGGGCTGACACACGGTAGGGCCGTCGGCGAACGGGTCGGGCATCACCGGTGTCGATGCGATAGGTTACCACCGATGTCTGGCCTAAATTATGGTCGCCGAAGTCAAAGATCTCCTGATAAGAAACGAGGACGCAGCGGAGAGCAGAGACTTGTTCAGAGGTGAGCTTGTCGGATATCATTGGCGTAAAAAGGTCGGAACAGAAACGTGACGAGAGTGAAGTTGATGAAAAATTGGGTGTCAAATCAGTGGTTAGGGCGGAAAGTGTGTGGTCGACCAGTGGTGTCACACGTGCAAGTGACATGCCGCGAGGAATAACTAGCCCCGAGAAGCCAAAACTGAGTACGGGAAATGAAGTTCCGTTGTCTTTAATGGTAACCATCGTGTTGGCTAGCGTGACATTACGCGTCATGGCCATGTTAGAAATGAAATTGGGGCAGCAACATAATCACCATCGGGTACTGGAGGGGATGGCGAGAGCTGGACTTGGACTGCGGCTTGCCGTGGAAGTTGAAGGAAATCGACAGCGTGTAGACGAGGTGGACTGATAGAGACGGTATCTGAGAAGGGGAGTTCGAGCCGAAAAAGACCTTCAGAACAGTCAATGAGCGCAGCGTGTCAGGTCAGAAAGTCGAGTCCAAGGATGATGTCGTGAGGGCAATTTTCCAGTACAGCAAGCAGAACTGAACTTTGATGCCCAGAAATTGTTAATCACGCAGTGCACATTCCAAGCACAGCAGTAGTACTCCCTTCGGCTGTACGAACGGTAGGCACAATCGCAGGTGTCAGAAATTTTTGGAGGCGGCGGCGGAGGTCAGAGCTCATCACAGATATTTGTGCACCGATATCTATAAGAGCAGTTACAGGTAAATCTTCGACGAGAATTGTAAGCAGGTTGCACCGCTGGTCGCGAGTAATCAGGGGGTTTGCAGTCCGAGTCGTATATGCAGCGTCACCTCCGGGGGCTGCACCGGCTAGTTTTCCGAGTGACGGTAGTAGGGGGACCGAGAACAGCGAGGTTGGGGCGAGTGGGACTGATGACGCAGGGGCAATGGCGAGCGGCTGGTCCGATATTCTGGAATATGCTCTGCACTAGTCTCAACACAGTAGGACGGGGCATGGGGCGCACGTTCGGAGCGGGGTCCCCAATTGTAGAAGCTTGGTTGAGGTGATGAGGTCCAACGGCTGCGGCAATGGCGAGCGATGTGTCCTATCCGATGGCACGCAAAACATACGGGGCGATCATCGTGAGTATGCAATTCAGTTGGGTTTCGTCGTGGCGAGAAGGTGTGGTTTGAAGTGGCTGCCGCAACGACTGGAGTAGCCGAGCTGGAAGTAGCAAGGGCATTTTGCTAAGGTGGCAAAATGCCCATATTCGCGATCTCTTGGGGAACCACGGCCTGTATCATTGAAGCAGCAGCGAGGTTGTGTCCTGGAACACTAACGCTAGACATAGTGGAAGCCATAGCCTCGAGTTCCCGACGGACTATTGTGGTGACGTTTTCCGCCACTGGTAGTTGATGCATAGT